CAGGTCTGGGAGCAGCTCTGCCCCGGGGCTCCCCGGGATGGCTGCTGGGGCGCCCGCTGATGCGCTGGGTTGCAGGATCTTGTGCGGCCCCGAGTACGGGACCGTGCGCTACGTGGGCAGCGTTCCTCCCACGGCAGGTGAGTGGGGGGCAAGCTCATGGCTGCCTGAAAAATCGTAATTATGTTCTGGATTTTTAAAAGATAACATCTAGTTATCAAATTTGCAAATTGTTTCTTTTTTGTTCTTGTGAAAAGATGCCAACCTCTTATCTAGATGAGTTGTTGGGGTTTTTAGAAGTCAGAGTTGTCAAAAGGAGTGTAAGAAGTAGTTCTGGTTGAAATTGGTTATGTTCTTTTTGTATGGTGCAAAGATCTTCCTGCATTTTTCCATTTGTTTTCATGAACTGTGTTCCCTGATCTCTGTGTAGTGGCCCAGTCTAGGATGGAGAGATGGGAAGCAGCAGCAGCAGGTCAACAGACTGGGTGCTCCTTGATAAAGTACTCACATTCTTGGGGACAAGTAGGACAGTTACAAAGATGATGGAGCCAAATTCTTCTTGCTAATTAGTATTAGATTATATAATAAGGGAAATTGGCCAGAAGTTGTGGCCGGAAAGGTTCACATTGGACAGCAGAAAAGTCTTTTTCTCTACAGAAGTGATGCAGCACTGGCATAGGTTGACCAGTTAAGTTGGAATCTTTTGTGGAGATTTTCAAGACCTGGCTAGGTAAAGGCTTGCCTGTTTTAGTGCTGGTGGATAATCTCCTGCTTTGAGAGAGAAGGTTAGGAGAGATAAACTTCAGAGGTTCCTTTCTACCATGATTTCTATGACTATGATGCCTTACATTAGAAAATGTACCTACCGTATTTTTCAGGAATTTGGCTTGGCGTGGAATGGGATGATCCTCAGAGAGGAAAGCACGATGGTACCTATGAAGGAACACAGTATTTTAAGTGCAGGTAAGTTGATTTACAGGGTTGGCCTGTCATGTGTTGCATGTTGTGTTGTTATTAATCCAGTTACAGAGATTAGAATGTGTTAAATACTTAGAAAATACTGCCAGAGACTGTAAGGTGACCTTAAAGGGTATGTGGCACATCTCGTGTAGTGTCTCAAACAGCTCAGGGCAGAGTCCTGTGGTAGCCAAGCATGAGCAGCCAGGTGGTATGGCAGACTGTCCTCTCCCCCTGTTCCTCTCCGGCTTTGCCTGCCCTATTAAATTTCCAATCGCTGCTCTATGCATGTGCTGACCACCAGGGCTCACCTGGGAAGAAGTCCCCTCCCCAGCCCCATTCCAAGTCTCTGGAATATCTGACTGCACTGCTGTGGACCTCAGAACCCTCCAGATGGACAAACTGTGCAAATGCAGGAG